AGTCTGTACGGAGTGTGGCCTATTTATAATCCTTTAGTCAAAGTCATTCTAACAGATGTTTTGTTGGGTAAACTCCCAGCAGTTTCGCCTATTTATGTTTCAGGGGTCCTCCATACCCTCAGCCTCATGAAATAATCTATCTACTCCAGATAGACATAATATATCAATGGAAAGGGAATTGGATGGTCTTTCAGACTTGGACAATAGATTTCATTTTTTGTCAAGCTGTCTTGAAGTGGGACCTTTTTCCTTGTTACCAAAAATAGAAACAAATTCCCAAAAGGGGGACATTTCTCGTTCTAGTGCACAGTAGAATTGTAAATGGGCTGATCTAACAATGTTATGCTCATATCTGTGCCTGAACTACAACAGGGAACTGCTGCTTTTTCTTTCCTAATCCTTACTATCGTCATTTTCCTCTACTTCTTTTGTAAGTTTGTCACACTCTTGCAACCCGCAATTTCCGGGGTGCCTTGATAGTTGAAGCAGACTTTGTGCTGTTGAAGCTAGAGAGGTGAGCAGAGTAAGTTTTAATTCCCTGTAAGGACTTCTCTGTTGACATCCACTCCTTGGCGCTCATATGACCTTATGCGGTAGCAAGCGCCGTAAAACCTCTACAAAAGCTAAAAGCTACACTTTTCCAACTGTCACAAAGAAGGGAAAAAAAAAGTGTTTGAGAAATTAGAGTTTACAATTATTTCATGGAAAAGTGCATTCAGTTCTGCATACTAAGTGTCAAAGATACACCATTCTGTTGGAACATAAAGAAATGAGAGCCATTCTAGTACATCCTACAATTCCTAGTTATTGCCCTTGTTTCTGGAAATTTCACATTACGTCTTTTTTCTCTCAGGCCTCCGGCAATAATCCATCTGTCCCCTGATAGACATATCATACACCAATAGAAAGGGAATTAGATGGTCTTTCAGACCTAGCCAATAGATTTCATATTTATTAAGCTTTCTTGAGGTGTGACATATTTTTCATGTTACTAAAAATAGATGCAGAAACAGAAATCAGACTGCCCCAACAATCACAATGAAGAAAAAAAATATTTTACAATTTAGAGTTTACATTAACTTGATGAGAAAGTACATTCAATTCTGCATGTAATGTGTAAAAGACACCTCATTTTGTTGAAAAATAAAGAAATGAGGGCTGTTCTTGTGCATTCTACAAATTCTCGGTTATTGCCCTTGAAACTGGAAATTTCAGAGCAAAAATTTTATAATAAAACCATCAATTTTAAAACCTATTTTATATTTTTTAGTCTATTTAGCCCTTTTTATTAGATAAAAATACCTTTAAAAAACTTTCTTTATGAAAATAATTGTATTTTATGGGCAAAATACCACACCCCCAGCCATCGTATATATTTATACGATAATACTGCATGAACTGCTGGGAGTTAAGGCTTGTTGATCTTGCAGGCCAGTCCCGAACAAAGATTTGATGAGTTTGGAAGGAGTTTTCACAGACCGTGGCTATTTGTGGTTGGGTGTCATCTTTTTAGTAAATTCCAACATCCGTGACATGTGGGGCAGTCACCGTGACAAAGAATTTCTTCGACCTTTGAGGTAGCTTTGAAAAGTAACCAAATGTGTATGAAATAGAGCAGTGATTCCATTCCAAACCATCACATTTCAGCTACCGATTCGGGTCACTTGGTGGACATTGGATTTGGGAAATCTCTATGCTCATCTTTAAACACTTTTTCTCTTCCATCAATGCAATGAATTAAACCATAGCTGAATGAAACACGATCCCAACGTCTTTAGTTTCATCGCCAATGTTGTTGCGCCCAAATTTGTTTTGGTATTGTTTTGGTAAGTGTTTTTACGGCGCTCGCAACTGCATAAGGTCATATGAGCGTGCAGGACACACCTAATATTTTCAGTTGGTAGGAAATTTTGAATTTTGCCCGGGTGGCGGCCGAAGCCTACTCTTATCGATTTTAGACCACCAAGGGATCTTTAATGTGCGCAACTTGCACACAGGCCCTCCGAGATTTTTCGCCCTTGTCCGAGAAGGCTAGGTGTAGATCTTTCCTACCAGAAGATAAGGGGTGTGGCAGAAAGACAGCAGTTTGGAGGAGCCAAGGAGTAGCAGTAGAAAGGCTGCAGAAAGAGTCAGGAGCCCAGAGAAGGGGGCAAAGGAGGTGAGGGGGTGGGGGCAGAAAGTGGAAACGAAAGCAGACAACAGAACATTGCAAGAGAGCAGGAAAGGAGGTGAAAGGAGACAATTTTAGAGAAGAAAATTTTTCGGTCGCTACCCGGATTCGAAACCAGGACATTTTGAATGAGAGGCCAACACCTTAACCTCTAGGCCACGAGAGCCCCCCCCCCCCCCCCCCCCCTCTCGGCACTTTACATAAATACATGTACAAACAATATTCACGCATGACACACACACACCCACACAAACACACACATCTATTTGCTTATCACAAGCGCACACTGACATATCGTTACGAAATGAGTACATACAAATTAATAATAAAATAATATACGCAATGCAATTCGCAAAATACATAAATGGATACATAGTGATTTACATAACATTGTACTGAATATGAATCTACTGATATAAAAATGATGTCATTAAACGTCTGTGTGCCCGGTGAAAGGTACCAAATGACGCTTTTTGAAGAATCCCATTTTTTTCCATTTTCATGTAAAGGATTCATTTTTGAACAATATGCTTTTTTAATTTTAAAAGTAGTTCTTTAGATATGGGTGATTTTTGTAAGGCAGGGTATGGAAACAAAGTTTTGAGAAAAACGGCTTTAAAGTTTCCCCATTATTTCTGTTTCAAATAGATAGATCTACGCTTCCAGCCGACCTGACAACAAATTCGCTACTTACAAACCAACTTTAAAAAGCAGCTTGGATAAAAGAACAGCTTCAAAATGTTTACATTACGTCTTCAAAACAAATTCGCCACCACCTTGAGCAAGAATTTTCAAGAAATTAGATCTAGGTTTGCGCAGGGAAGAAATATGTGATACAATTTGCTCTCCAAAAAGACGAAAGGGTGTGGATGCTCAAAGCTTCGCTATGTTCACACTTTCTAGATATTCATGCGCACTACTCGCCACTAAAGAGCGGAGAGAATTACCTAAACTTTGATATGCAATGTGATTGGGTTGACTTTATGAATGGACAAGAGAAACCATCCGCAAAGTTTACTCAGAAAACACAGCTTTTGGGATAATGCAAATATACCAGGGTGAGTCAAAAAGTAATGCAAGTTCGTTTATAACTTAAAGAAAAAAAACACACTTGCAACTATGATATCTCAAATCGAAGGGGAGCATCTGAGGATCAGATTTTTATTTCTCAACATAGTCTCCATTTCGTTTAATAGACACTGTACACCTTTTACTAAGTCCACCTATGCCAGCTTCGTAAACCTGAGTACGTTGGTCGTAGGGGTACAGCAGTCTTGATTTCTCCATCGTTCGAATAGTGTTGACCTCTCAATGGTTCTTTCTAGGATCGAAAAGGCGGAAGTCGAAAGTAGCCAAATCAGGAGAATAAGTTGGATGGGGCCGTGTTTTCCACATAAACGGGGTGACTATCTCCCTTGTTCGAGTACTCGAAAGCAGGCGGGCATTGTCATGGTGAAAAAACACTCCTTCCAAGTTCAAATTTGGTCGGACTCGTCGAATTCTGGCTTTCAGTCGTTTCAGTGTTTCAATGTAGGGTTCAGAATTGACAGTTGCTCCTCGTGGTAAAAAAAAAAAATTCTTCGAGATGCACGCAATGAACGTCCCAAAACACAATTGCCATGATTTTTTCTGCCGACTCCTCGGGATGATGCTTGTCTGGTAAGCGTATGGATACGTCTTCCTCTTCTTCCGGTTCATTGCTCACACATCTGACCCACCTATACAGTGCCAAAATCTAGAGCTTGGTCCTTGTAAACATTTTGAGGTCAGTTTTGGATGTTATCGGTGGATTTTCCTTCTAAAACAAGGAATTCAATCATTGCTCTTTACATCTGACAGACCTCCAAGAGGGTACCCATTTTGATGTGACGTCATTCGGGCCAAATGAAAGAACCTTAAATTTTAACAACTTGAGTTCAAAAGTATATGAGCAAGTATTTGTGAGCTGAATTTCATTAAATTTGATGCAAAATTGTGAAAATCAACGAACAACTTGTATTACTTTTCGACTTCCCCTCGTACCTTGTGTTATAAAACATCTTTAAAAATGTATTTACAGTAAAAGGAACTCAAGTCCTGGTAAATATCGATAAAGGAATGGCTAAAGAATCCGTTTTTAATGGAACTTAGTTTTAGTCAAAAATTCTATTTTTGACCTTCGAAGCCTGATATCTCAGTTCAAGCCAATGCGTCTTTTGGTACCTTTCACCAGGCATACTCACAAATGTGTCTTTAAAGATATTTTAAATTTAGACTCAGATGTATGTCTCAAGGGTTGGAGAAGAGAGTTCCAAACTGATGGAGCAAGGTGGGCAAACTATCTTTTAGCTAATTTCTCACCTCCTTTTCTAGGAATTTTTTTAAATACTGATCGCCTGATCTTAATGAACTAGAGTGTTTACACATTGTCTACGTGATTCAAAGCAAATTTTGTGCGCAAGAAGCGTTCATTCCAACGCAGACTGAAAGAAATCAATACCAACACTTTGCCCCATGTACTACTTCCAGTATATGATTTCTTTCGTCTGCTCTTGTACAAAGAGTCTCATAAGTCAGACAAGTCATACTTTCATTTTTGCAGCAATTCTTTCGCTGTACCAAAAACTATTGTAATATAATGGGTGTGACAGAACTTTTGCAACTCAGTATATGTTATGGAAATGAGAAATTTTAAGATATGACCTTAAACTATAGAGGTTGAACTTTTGAAGTAATGTTCATCTCTGATAGGACTGAGCCAGACAGAACCTAAAAAAAAGATTAGTTATTAGCACTCAGAATTCTGTAAGAATCCAGAAAACTGCTCACCAGTCATTGACATTGTTCTCACCTGGGACAGTGTGCAGAGACTTGAGGTGCGTGGCTTCTACCTCCTCATCCACTGGCACTGTGAATGGGCCTATAGGAAAATAGAATATTTGTGTTTCCATTATGTGATCAGTTTGAGTTTACATTCCAATTATTTCAATACTTCTTACCACACAACAAATAGCATCAAGTTCTTTCAGCTCCCGATTAAGGGGGCTTGTGGGTCAAATTCCAACACATAAGACCAGATTTTCAAGTAAAATACCAAAACTAAGTTTGTGATATATTTTAAAAGTTGAATCAATATAGTTTACAAATTAAATATACTGGTCATAATGTTGAAAAACACTTAGAAAAGAGTCATTAAAGAGCATTTTAAGAGCACCCCCCCCCCCATCTTCCCCCTTGACCCCACCCCTACAAAAATTGGCTGACGACTAAATTTGATGTAAAATACCGGAACGAAGGAAATGGGCCAAGCGTAGCAACGAGCTCAAAGCCACAACAGTTATAATAATCTTAAGTACTAATGGAAAGCTCACAATTTCATCCAGCCTACTATAATTAATGCAACCACATTAGATTAGTCTAATACGATGTGAACCAACGGCATTCAAACAAGAGATGCCCTCCAAGAAATTCTCCTTATTTTGAAAATGATGCAAGCAACAATTGTTTGACTTGATAATTTGTCATGCTCTGCAACAAAACTGGTCCACATTTGAAAAAGCCTGACTACCATTACAGAAACATTTCTCAAAGTGAAATGCGTTGATAAAAGTTTACAATGATCTTCTATGTGCAGTAGATGTAGGTTGTTTCAATGCTCACAATGTTACACTTAAGTGCAGCATTAGGCACCACTGACCACTCCATTTTATTAGAAAGGCTAGAAAAGTAGTTCTATCTTATATAGATTATTGCAATCCATACCTTATAAACATATCAACAGAACTAATGAATAAACTGCAAAGATACCACAACCAGGCAACACGAGTTGCGAGAACACACAGCACCATTGCTTTTACAAATCCATTGGCTTCCTGGTCAAGCTCGTATTGACTTAATGTGCCAGATGTGTTTAACTGTGCAGTGGAATCAGGTCCTCGTCAATTTAGGGGCATGTGGAGTCATTGGTATCATCATACAGCTTGTTCATTTGTCTTGCTTTCAATACAAATAACACCCATCTATCTTGAACAGAAGTTGAGATTTTTGGCGATTGACGGAAGTAGGGGTCACCTGGTTTCAGAGATAAAATTAGCTAGAAAATGGCCGCCAAAGCTTGGTGACTGTCATAGGTTGAGAGTCCTCAAAAAGTGAAAATTTACGACCACAGTATCTGTCAAATTTACAATTGGAGTATACGTGACGCATCATGACGGTTCGGTCACTAAGTACATATTTCATCATTTGGGTTTTTGGTACAGATGCAATGAGGACATACAGTCAAACCTGTGTAAAACAGTCACCCATTGTCAAATAGAAAAGTGGCCGTATAACACATGTGGCCGTCTTAGACAGGACTGATCAAAAAGAAGAAACTGAGGTCCAAACCGTGGCTGATCTCAGGCTTTGGACTGCTGTAAGATTAATTCAAAAGGGTTTTTGTTTTCTTTTGAAAAGGGTGTTTTTGTTGTTGTAGTTTTGTTGGTTGTTTTTTGGTTAGCTTTCTTTTTGTTGCTGATTTTGTGCAAGTGTAAAATAAACTAAATGTTACGTAAGCAAGACAATGAAGATCGAGTGCCATGGTAAAACAAACACATGGGTCGCCATCACTGGGAGAACGAGTCATGCTTCTGTCGCATGTTCACGTCAACGTCCATTCTTATTTTGTTACAGATTAGGTAAACAAAACAGTCACCTCACACACGATTTGTGCACAAGTTGTGGACGCGGTTTATAGGTTAAGACGAATCACGTTTCCCTCACCAGAAGCTGAAAACTTATTTTTAGGCCTACTCATTGATCAACATTGGGTAAACATTCATTGGAGAGACTAACAATAACGAATGGTGAATGAATTATGCGACCCATCCACAGAATGAGGAGCCGATTAAAAATTGATGACAAAGCCTGGGGCGATGGGTGACCATGCCTGGCCGCCTGAGGCAGATAAATTTGACTGCAGGTTGATAAAATAAGGTGGCTGTGCCCACTTTGGACAGGTGACCCTTTTACACAGTTAAATTATATCGAAAAAACGCAAGGGGGGAAATGGAAAGTGGCCGTATTATACAAGTAGCCGTCATGGCAGGTTCATGTGACACCAATATCAATGTATATGAAAACAAATAACACCCCCACCTGTTACTCTTTCCATGCATGCAGTCCAAAAGCACACAACATATGTTGAAAAAAATAAAATCAGCAGGGTTGTGAACTAAAAGCTTCAGTTGAAAAAAGAAAAACAATAATGGAGTAGAACCAAGTTCTGCATAAGGTTTTATAATTTTTTTGCTAAATCTTTTTAACCAGATGGCACTTACAAGGTGACAGGCAGACATGCTTTAATTAAGACTGCAGAGACGTCAGCGGCAGACATGCTTTAATTAAGAGTGCAGAGACTGAGAGCAGTGTGAACGGATTGATTGTAGTGAGAAAGCAAAGAGCACTCATGGATGTAATCTCTCTCATTCGATAGGGGCTTTTTAACAGGAAGGAATTTCACAGGAAGGAAAACAAGAATATGGTTTTCATTTAAAAGTACTTTTAAACGCAATTTTTAAAAATATTTAAAAGTGCAGCAGTTTCTACAAATACACAACAAAATCATATTGCTCTGATTATCATGGGTCAAAATTGAAAATGTAGATCTACCACATTGTGCCTCTCACCTAAAGAATTCCAAACTCAGTATCCCATTTACTTAGAACTAATCTTAAAGTGTCAACAAACAAGTGTTAGTACAATTCTTACACATGAACAAAAGGAAAATAATTCAATTCCCCTAACCCTTTCCTAAAAAGGATCAGTCTGTGATACTAACCGAGTCTGTAGCCTCTAGGAGTTTTGTGCATCTTGACACATACATCTCTGTTGCCTGAAGCTCTCACACCATCCAGCACTGAGGCTATCAGTGCATCTCTGAAAACAACATGAGGGTGTCAAAAGGAGTGAAGAATAGTTATTCATTGATGAGAATTTTATTCTAAAGACACCAACATCACATCAATGTCATTTGGCGGACAGGGTACACAATGGAAACACCACCCCCCCCCCCAATCCACATCACCTGTTGAAAATGAAAATTACGACCCCACACAGATTCAAATCCTAAACTCCGAAGTGTTAACCATGTTATAGAACCATTGGGCCCTAATAAGGTATCCAACTCTTTCCACTCCAGAAACCCATAGGAAGAACAAAACAACCTTATTACCCTATTCTTTTCCCTTTTCATATCTTATTTCAAATAATATTTTGGGGTCCTATAATAATAATAATATGAGGAAAAAGAGACTCCCAAATGTTTCAGACAATGAATTACAGTGTCCAGGAGATTGTTGGCATGTTTCTCAACATAAAACAAAGGTGAAATGGATTCTTCGATACCCAAATGCTACTTACAAAATTACAATAAGTGTCAGGTTTTGCGTCTAGTTTACAGAGAGTACAGTCTTACAATTTGATTGGAATGAAATGGAAGAGGATAAAAAAGCATTAATTTGTCCTCACGTTTAACAATGTTTTTATATAAGTGTTTTTCTAAAAATGCACTACAATAACAACACAGACATGTTGAAACTATAATATAATTACAAACAAAACTTACTAAAACAAACAAATTCCATCAGCAGAAATTCAGTAGCATCTGTTGACTTTTCGTGACAATTTAAAGTATAAAAATATAAAAATATATTGAGTAATAAATTTAACCATTGTATCCCGGACAACAGAGTACCTGTCTGTAGAGAGGTAGGTGCGGATTGCCCCCTTGACATATTCTACACTGAACTCTTGAGGATTCCCAGCCGAACGGTTTATTGCAAACACCTGGAGGAACAAGCATATTAAAAATAAAATAATAGCATTTGTATAGCGTAAATCCCCACTCAACAGCAAGCTCTAAGCGCTTCACAATCTATACTATTACCCCAGCAGACCTGAGAGCATTCTGAAACAAACTCAATTTCCTGGGAAGCATACAGTGCAAGCAGCCATTTATAGGCGTTAAAACACTAACATACTGACAAAATCTTTCATGTGTAAAGTGCCTTTCCCAAGGACACAGCGTTGGGCCCGCGGCTCGAACCTCCGACCCCGCAACCTCACGATTACGAATCCGGTAGCTTAACCACTAGGCCACCGATGCCACAATATCTCATTGTTTTTCAAAGATATCATGATAGAACTAGAAATGACAATACAAAAGCAGGAACAATTAGGCAAATCCATGAGCTCTAAGAGTTATAATAGCTGCGCAAATTTTGTGATTGGAGAAAAGTTAGTCATCATCCACTGCAAATATATTTATATAAAATTAAATTAAATCAAAAGGTAAAAGTGTTATCAACCAGAGGGAAGCAACTATACAAATCAAATAATCACTGCTTTCCCTCCTTAATATGCGAACATCATCACAGTCAAATTAACCCATAGACTATGATTGAAAATGGCCTTATAAATTTAAATAGTAACAGACTTTCAGGAGATCACCAATGATCAGAGTGCAAAACACTCGAAACTGTTTCATTTTCAGGTAAATTAATACTGTGTTTACCCTTTTCCAGCTACTCTAATTAATAAGCAGTCACAAGCACTAATTACGTAAGTTAACAATTAAACTGGTAGTCAACATAAAAAAAGGTAAAGGGGGATTAACTCCTAATAATTTTTTACCACCCTATGATCAGAGAGGATTATGTTTTGATATCTGGGCTCCAAAAGATAGATAAAGACTGCCAAATTTCAAACCAAATTCATAAAACATTAGTAGTATTGTCATCTCTGGGGTTTTTTTACTTCTTTTTCTCTGTATTCACATCTTTAGTTGCATAGACTTGTTTTTTTGTTAGTTTG